CCCTGATTTCTAAAAATTGGGAACATCGATATATCTATATATTATTTTTTTTATTCAACAAATTTCCTCCATCACAGTACTCCAAATCTTTAACACCTGCTAAAACCCCTATTTTGTGCTCTTATTTGTGCTCCTATTTTTTGGGGGAAAAACGGATAGTATGAAGTTCGAGGGGGAAGCTGCATCGACACAAGCTGCAGTGGAACAAGTAAAGGTTAATTCCAGGATGAAAAGTAAAAAACATTTTGGTTGTGTTTTATTAATATTTTATGGTATCAGTCATGTAAAGTTATTAAATGTGATGCCTGGTTTTAGCTCTAAAGATAACTTCAAGCTGAACAGTTTGATCACATAAGGCTAACTTAATGTCGTTATTTGGATCTATCATTATTTTAATACTAATTATTTTAGTTGCATTTTTGGCAATCAATTTAATACATTTAGTAACCACTGTGGTATAGTAAAGTAAACTTTACACGATCTAAAAAAATCACTAAGCAAAGATATATACTCATCTTGTTTATTAAACTAATTCAGAATATTACAACAAGAAGAGAGCCTTATTAAAAAAGTATTGATATTGAAAATGTCTTCCCGGCGTTTATATGAATATTTAAGTGCATATCTGTTTTACCTAAAAGCCTCTTATGAATCGCCTCATATGCATCCCGCCTATGTTTCCAACTGTAAGCAAAGTAAGGGAAACATCTCTAGAGTGCTCCTCCTATATTCTTAGTTTTTGTTTCCCCATGACTGCTGTAAATGAGTATTTTACCCAGTTGGTCTAATTTGTCGTGAGTTCAGGCTCACACAAGGTGGCCAAAGCTCTTCTTCAGGTAATGGGTTAATTACAGTTACTTTTAGCCCCTGACAGAGGGATCTCTGTCACCGTCCGCCGACAGTACAGCACACCACACACGTTATCCCATTTAAATGACACGCGTTCATACCTTTTCCTGTCGGCTAGCTAGCTCGCGAGGGTGCAGGCTTGGGGCTGGGCTAGCAGTCTCTCATTCCATACACGCAAGAACATAACCACATTTTACTTCGAAATCCGTTCCTGTTATTTGTAGAAAATCAGATGCAGACACTCACCGCTAACGTTACGTTTTCTGTTTATTTGTACTTTACTGTTACGCTCTGTACGCTCTGTCTGTCTGTTTGGCTGTCTTCTTTTTTTCCCATGTTGTGGTCACTGTGCGTCCCGGGCAGCCTGACGTCCGGGTGGCCCCAGGGGTCCAAACTCGAATCCTGTTCTCAGCTTGGCTTTGTGGTTGTCACCCTGATTGGTGCATGTGCACATATTCCGGTATAGGATGTACCATTTTTACAGAAAGTTAAAATAATAATAATTGCTTACACTTATATAGCGCTTTTCTGGACACTCCACTCAAAGCACTTTACAGGCAATGGGGATCCCCTCCACCACCACCAGTGTGCAGCCCCACCTGGATGATGCGACGGCAGCCATGTACGCCAGAATGCTCCCTACACACCAGAGGACAGCAGAGAAAAATAGAGGGGGATTATTAGGAGGCCATGATTGGTAAGGGCCAATGGGAAATTTGGCCAGGACGCCGGGGTTACACCCTTTCTGTTTTCGAGAAACGCCCTAGGATTTTTAATGACCACAGAGAGTCAGGACTTCGGTTGTACGTCTCATCCAAAGGATGGCGGCTGTTTACAGTCTAGTGTCCCCATCACTATACTGGGGCATTAGGACCCACATGGACCGCAGGGTGAGCGCCCCCTGCTGGCCCCACTAACACCTCTTCCAGCAGCAACCTTAGTTTTTCCCAGGAGGTCTCACATCCAGCTACTGACCAGGCTCACACCTGCTTAGCTTCAGTGGGTTGTGAGTTGCAGAGTAATATGGCTGCTGGCCTTTTAAAAGGAGTAAAATTGTTTAAAATTGTTTGTTCATGTTTCTGTGTTTTTTCTTTGGTACATTCTGTATATTCTGTTGTCAAAATATTATGAATGGATTGTTAGGTGGGGGAAATAAGTTTATTGTGAGGTATGCATCTCAATAATTCTAATTAGTGCAAAGGTGATTTTATAATTTTCAACTTATCAAGTTATAGTAGTGACATTAGTCCACTTTGAAAGCTAATTCATCCTGTGCTGCACAAACCCAGACACACCTGTGACCAAAGCGTATTGTCTGATTGAGCTCAGGTGTGACTAATGTCTTATCATGCCGAAAGCCCTGGAAACCATTCAGGCTGTAGCTAAGTGGCAGGCTGACTTCGGCTTCTACTGCTGCAGCCACCCGAAAGCACAGCCTTCATTGATCTGTGTCCAGTTTATAGGCCACAGATTTGTAATCGGTGGTGGTAAAATTAAGCTATGGTGGTTAAAAATGTAAACCGTGCTAAGAGGGCTTTTGTGAGTTATTTGTGTCAGGCATACTTCATAAATATTTCAATGACTTGAATGAAAGTTTGGAGAGTGGTTTTATCCTGAAAATAGTGATATGCTGCATTATGCTTCTTAAAGATTGTGCAATTGATTTTGTCTCTCTTGGTTTATCTTGCTTCTTGTGTGTGATTCTTTGATGTGTAAATTGATAATATATGTAATTTACATCTTGCTATCAGACTTCTCTTCTCCTGTACCATGATACTACAGTGAGGGTTTCTTTGTAGCCAGTTTTTACTTAATGGTTAGAATATAGGTAAAAAACGTGAAAGGGAAATCTCAATCAATTTTTTATTATTTAATTATTTTCCTGTGCCTGGGATTTCATCCTAAAAGCACATCCTGCATTTTAACTGCCATTGGAGTTGGCTGTTTGAGGTGACTTCTAGCAGTGCCTTTGGTGAGAGCAGCGTTACTGAGCTTACCGTGTGACTTATGGCAGGTGACTCTGGCGGTGTGCGTTTTGGAAGAAAGCAAGCACTGCCCTGTTTTGACATGAAGTTGGCAGCGGTAAGCAAATCTGATTTAATATTTACCCATTCCGAAGAGAATGAAAACAGGGCACGATCATGGAAAAAACAACAGGAAATGAAGCGAGACTGAAAAAAAGAAATAACAGGAAAAAACACAGTGATCCTTCAAAGCAAATTATTTCTTTCCACATTCCAATGTTTACTTACAGTATTGAGAGAAGTTTGAATTTTGTCCTCAGGAAATGGTTCTGCTTCAAGGCTACTCAAGTATGCCCTTCTGTAGGCAATGAGTGCCAGTCTGCCAGTTGTGTAGAACTGAAGTATTGATGACGATGTTATCCGGTCAGTCGGATCCAACTCTTGACGATTCTATAGGCTATCTCTCGCCACGCTTTCCGGTCTTGGACTTTCTCTTTCAGCTGTTCTATGCCTAAGCCAGTGTCTGTTTTGATGGCGTCGAGCCACCGTGTTCTTTGGCGGCCTCGTCTTCTTGTTCCGCTGATCATTCCAAGCATCATTGCTTTCTCCAATGAATCTGATCGCATCACGTGACCAAAATAAGTGAGCCAGAGTCTGGTGATCTTTCCCTCAAGCAAAATTTCTGTCTTGATGCACATGGTATCCGTAACAGTCTTCTCCAGCACCATAGCTCGAAAGCATCCATCCTCTTTCGGTCAGCTTTTTTCAGGGTCCAACTTTCACACCCATACATTGATATGGGGAACACAATAGCATGGACCATTTTACATTTGGTTGTGAGGCTGATGTCTTTGCTCTTCCAGATTTGGTGCATGCTCAGCATCGCACTACTGCCTAACGCAATTCGTCGCCTGATTTCAGGGCCGCAGTCTCCAGTTCGGTCGATCATGGATCCCAGGAGGCAGAAAACCTTGACGCATTCAATCTTTTCATTATTGATGGTTATTTTGACTGCTCCATTTCCAGCTGTTGTCATGATCTTCGTCTTTTTAATGTTGAGGTGGAGACCCATCTTTTCACTTTCCTTTTTGATTCTTAAAATGAGATATTTCAGGCCATCTTCCGTTTCCGCCAGTAATGTTGTATCATCAGCATAGCGGAGATTATTAATAGTTCTGCCTAATTGAGAAGAAAAGGAGACAGAATACAGCCTTATCGCACACCTTTCTCGTAATACTTACTGAAGTATTACCATCACATTAAAATCCTTTTACACAGCAAGTAACAAGCAGAGCTAGATCGTATCACAATTAAATCACCCTCTAGTTTGATTAGAAACATTGGGATTTCTACCATGTAGAAACAGTGCAGCACAATATAGAAATGCCATACTTGCCTAATTATAGTCAAATGATATGGCCCAAATTTGGGCAGTTCTTTAATGACCTCCTAAACATCAAATCTTTACAGCACTTGAATACATTTCTGTTAAATAATCAATCCAGAGATGTTTTAATCCATATTTGAAAGCTATTAACTTTAGTTAATACAGCCTTTCTGCTTCTCTCATTTTCTTCTCAAGTTTATCTAGATGTGGAACTGAACAGATTACATCCTTTTAACTGAGCTGCACTCTAACCCCACGCAATCTAGTTGCTGCCCTGGATACTTAATTTATTAGCTCTTAATGGTGTCCCAGTTTAAATATTCATCAGAAAGGTCCTGTGATAAAAGCACAGGCCCAATCTTGTATCGCCATTTTGTTTTTACCCTCTCCTTGTAGGCCAGAGGAAGCGGGTCAGAGCACTCCTCTACCCGACAGAAGCGGTCGAAAGTGGTGTTGTGCGTTTCCAGTGCTCCTCGTGGATGTCCATGGCTGCGCACAATGTCTTCTGTGTGTCTTTCTGACTGCATCTATGTATTTACACTGCAATATGGAACCAGTTGTGTAAACTGCAATGCAACATTTTCATTGCTGAATAAATGTCATGACTGATTTCTTAATGTTTCTGGATATAGTCTTTTGGGTTTAATGACATTGAAGTGTAGTGCTTCCATCTCTGGGGCAGCATTTTTATAATGCAGGACATAAATCCTGTATCTGGAAATAACTTGTCCCATGCATGTACTCGTTCACATATTTAACAACTTGTACTACTTGCTCACCATACCTTTTTTTCTGTGTAGCGATCGTCAGCCAGTGGCACCAGGAGCCCAAGGAGAAGGTGGTCTCCCTGCTTCTGTCCCACCTGCCCTTGCTGCAGCCACGCAACGCTGAGGCCAAGTGCGAATACATGAAACTCCTGCAGAAGGTGCTGAGCCACACTATCGAGAGCAGCCTGTTCGTGGAGGAGAGCCGACAGCTGCTGTCTTATGCTCTCATCCACCCTGCCACCACCCTGGACGACCGCACCTCCCTAGCCATGTGGCTCAACCACCTAGAGGAGCACCTGTCCAGTGGCTACATCCCCCTCCGGCCGGCCACCATCTACCACCCCCGCCAGGGCTCTGACGAGTGGGCAGCTGGCCAACCTGAGCCCCTGGATCCATGCCACGCATGGCAGGAGAAGGCCCCATCCTCTTCCTCCACCTCGTCTGCCGGCCAGAACGGGCATCTGCCCTTCCACGCCCCCACGTCTACTTCTTCCACGATCAACAATATAACCGGCAGCAACACAGGTGAGAGAGTGCTCACTGGTTAGTCTGCCTCGCAAGTCACAGAGCACCAGCTGTGTCTTTATTTTAAATCATAGTCTTGGTAATATTACCAAAACGCTGACAAGTAGTAAGACTCCATATATTACATTTAATTTCTGGCATATCTGTGATATGATTTTCCCTGCATTTCTGGAAATCAGAGCTAAAAGTCACAGACTGTGTAAAATAGTGTTCTCTTCAAAGCTAGTTCTCAAGGCTTATGTTGTTTTGATCAAGGCAACATTGTTTGGTTTAATTGTTTTCTGACACCTTCAGGCAGTAGCTGCAGCATTAAGATAAAGATGTTAACTGTGAACTTAAAACTGTACTTGTCAGCATGAGGAAGGAGAAATGTTCTATAATCAAAAACCAAAAAAAGAAAAGGCTCAAAAGAATTTGACATTGATGTGTAAATGAGGCCAGTTGGTGCACACCAATGTTCTCTGTGACTAACTGCCAGAGTTTCTTTGCCAGCTGGTACTGGGAGAGTGCATCCCTAAAGCATATTCTTAGCAATTCTTGGAATTCAATAAAATATATATATTAACAGGTTAAAATACTTCTGTTTGTATTACAATGAAATGGCTCAGACTTTTGATAAAAACACACAAAAAAAAGAATTGATTGCTGTTTTGCTACAAGAGTGTTTGTTCTGTTATGACTCTGTCCTCTGTTGTCAGATGTATTTATCATCTTGCCTCTCAGTTCCACAGTTAGATTCCATTAGAAAAGCTGTGTTTTGTATCTTTTGTCTTTGGTGGCTTAAGTGCTAGAGTGTGGAACATAAATAATAATGAAGCCTGAACCCCTAAAACTATTTCATTGGAGCCTCTAATTCTGATCTAGTTTTTACCCAGGCTTTTAGCTGCCTAACTAGTCATTGTCTGATAAAGATACCTTAAACACAGTTAAACTGATGCTTAGCTATTTATTACCTTCACTGGAGAAAGAAATAAGTTATTGACAATAACTTATTGTCAGAGAAGTGCAAACTGGAGATATTTTATAAATCATCCTAGAGGGTAAAGTCCTAATGGAATTAAAATATAATTTTCTAAACATTGGACAGTATAAATTCGTTTCCAGTATTCATAAGAATGAACATTATTACTGGGATCTTAAACACACTTGCTACAGAGGGCCAGATTTGATTTAATTGTTCTTTAAGATGCCCATACACACCACATATTAAATTGCAATGCTAGGCCTAAACATAACCTAGTATTATTTGTAATGTTTTATGTTATTGGTGTTGTTATGTCTTTGCTAAATGCCAGTTTATTAAAATGGCCTCTGAGTATTGGATTTGTTTTGCATTATTAACTGTAATTAACTATTTAAAAAAAAGGTAGTTGGATTATTGTACTCTGTGTAAATCTCTTTCCACAACTGGTGACAAAATATTGCAACTATATGGAGTCACTCCTGAATACATACATGTTATACAATTACTTGTGTGACATCCCTGCAATACATGACCCCTCACAGACGTTGTTATAAAAAACTTTTCCCTTTTGCATGCTCTGCTCACATGATATTAAAAACAAACGTATGTTTAAAAACATGTTTTGGGAACTTGCAAATGTACGTGATTTCTGGAGACAAAAGATTCCTTTTCTTTGATCTAAAGAAGCATTATTCCTTGCTCACCCCATGTTCTTGTTAAAGGAAGAATCCAGTCTTGATCTTTCACAACAGCAGAAATGGTTCTGGTTGACAGGCATTATAGTGGCTACAAAATTGCTGACAATCCAATTGGAACCTCTACATTTCCCTCTCCTGGTATCACTGGAACCTAAATGTCTCTTGCCTATATTCTGTGCTGCTCAGTTCCCTGATGCCAGGGAGAAAACATTGGGGGTATGAAGGGTTGCTGTATACATGTTACTTGACCCATGAAGCCATGAATTATATTTGGGGGTCCTTAGATGGGTGAACTGGGTAGTGGATACCACTGGGTTGATCAGAAGGGCTGTGGTGAAATGCCATGCTGTTGTGTTTCTGTTCTGTTTTGAAAAAAATTAATTTGTTCTGGAAAAAGTCCACATCAATTACTGTGCTTCATTTACAACTTAAATGTGATGTGATATCAATGGGATGTAAGCATACAGTAGCAGACAGCAACGTTGGTTGAGGATTAATTACAGTATTTAGGTCTAGTGATTTGTTTTGTCATTCTGAAAAAAAATGAAAAGGCTTATTTGCAGCATGTTCTGTTTCCTGTTAATGATCTTTTATTCAGAGTTAAAAGGGTGTCTCATTTGATGAGTCTTAATGCATCTAGGAAGTGGCAGAACTAATGATCAGTATTACTCGCATGGCAGCATGTCTGTTGTAATGATTACTTATTAACATTGTTTCATACTGAATGATAAACAAAAGTGCTGACTCACAGCAAGTTTGTAGATTTTGGACTGCTCCACTGATTCCACTGGCATGCTGAGTAAACTGCGAAGTGTACTGTATGACAGATTCTGTGCATACTAGATAAAATATTTGCTTGATTGTCAGCAGATCCTCTCTTTTTGGAGTGCACTCTTTTGTAGAAAAAAAGTTTTATTGAACTTTCAAGTCTGTTCAGTTCAGGAAAAAATTTTCAAGAGATGCAAAAAACAGAAATTTTCTGCCAGCAAACATAAGGGTATCTGTTTTCATTAAAACCACAGGGAAATTTAATTTCAGAAACTATACTGAATGACCAGACAAGTTTATTGAAATTGTCAATACCCTTTGAAACAGCAAAACCACTTTCAAGATGAACATCGTTCTCTCCCTTCTCCTCCTCTGCTGTGTTGCAGTTCTGTCAAGCCAGATCCACCCCAGCCCCCTGAAGAGGTCCATGTCCCTGATCCCTTCAAGCCAGCAGGCCTGCGGGAGCGAGTGGCTGAGCCAGGAGGATCCAGGGGCCCGGCCAGCCTTTGTGCCCTCTGACCACGCTCCCCTGTCACCCCAGAGCAGCGTGGCGTCCTCGGGCAGCGAGCAGACCGAGGACCAGAACACTGCCCGCAATACCTTCCAGGAGGAGGGCAGCGGGATGAAAGGTGAGTATGGGGGTGTCTTTACGTTTAGGCGCATCTGAGGTTCAAACCACATTCATTCTAACCGAGAGGCTTCAATGTGAATTGGATGTTGTTTCATTCTTCTCCTTTGTCTTGAAATTTCTGAGAGCCATATTGAGAAGCATCTGAAAACTCAGATACATTTAAAACATGAAGATGTCTGATCTTTGTCCAAAAGAGTAGCAGAGTCTCCTGGGTTTCATTCAGACCAGTTATTAAACTGAGCCAGTCATTGGATCATGATTAGCATGACCTTTGTCGTCTGAGGTGTGAAACCTACAAGTCCTGTCTGGCAGAGTCAGACTTTCTCTCACCTGCACTGCCTGTGCACCTGTTCTTTCCATCTCACAGTAGGATTTTATAGCACTGTGGGTCTGGGTGGAAGTACTGAGTGACTGATTGTGTTTTGCAGATGTCCCCACATGGCTAAAAAGCCTTCGTCTCCACAAGTATGCATCATTATTCTCCCAAATGACCTATGAGGAAATGATGATTCTGACAGAGCAACACCTTGAGTCACAGGTTTGGGGAAGCATCTTTCTGTTCTCTCTTACCTTACAATTTGTAAAAATGTACCTTTAGAGCAAGATGTCTCCATGGGGAGGTCGATATCTGTTCATTTGCATTTCTGTTTTGGTGTGAAAATTTTTTGTTGCAATTGTGGCAGATTGAATTTGGAAATGAGGAATAAGGCACAAATCACTCATAAAATGAACTCCTTGATGGTGGTGCTGATGGTGGTGAATACCGTGTAATGCAGTCTGCATTATGGTGTGCTTGTCATGAGGCATCAGATTGATGCCTTTGCCATTTCTGGCAATACACATGAATCAAGAAAAAATCAGATGTTGGGGGGGGGGAAAGTCTGTAGAGTTATTAAGAAATTTAATCTGAGCTCTTAAGTAGTTGTCTTTTATATCCTTCTGAAAATAATCATTAATCACATTATGATCATGTAGCTTGAATGTCATGGAACTTCCCTGTGGAATTCAGCTTGGAACATTTATCCAAACACTTGCCTAAAACTGTGCTTGCTTTGGGAAACTGACGAATAAGACAAGCTCTTCTTTGCAGACCTGTGCTTGTGCTGTAAAGTGATTTCAGATTTTTCGGAAGAGCTACATTTATGTCTAGTTCCACATAATAAATTTAATTTAACATTTTGTTATTCAGAATGTTACAAAGGGGGCTCGGCATAAAATTGCCCTGAGTATCCAGAAGCTGCGAGAGAGGCAGAGTGTGCTGAAGTCTTTAGAAAAGGTAAGAAGTCTGCTGATGACTGAGAGGTGTTTGCCTAATGCCCAATGGATGTTCTCCCTCAATTTGGCTGTTGATGGGCTGCATATCGTAGTGTAAATGTTTAATTACTGTGTTTAAGTCTGCCTTTTTTTTTTAATTAGTGCTTTTTAGAGATAATCTTGAGGTATCATATTGGTAGTCCCCAAGTCTCTGAAGGCACTTAGAGAAAACTGAGAAATGTAACCTGGACAACATGGTTTCTTTAAGATTTTCCCCAGGCAATTGCCCTTTAAATATAAACCTGGAAGAAACAAAGGAGAATTTTAATGAGGTGCCATCGGGCACAAAACAAGTGAGAGCAGAAAGAAGATATCAGGTTCGAGGCGTTCAATGTAAAAGTCCAGTGCATTGCACAGTGGAGTCTGTTGCAAAAGGGCACATAAAAAAGGGAGGGCAACCAAATCATACCAGGACAAAATTAAACATGCTTGCACAGAGACTGAATTCAGATTTAAAATGGGACCAGGATGGGTCAAGTTTGCACAGCTTGTGTTTAAGCTCCCCACAGGTATTTCCTACAGGCTGCAGTGCCTATCATTTCTGTGGTTGGTGCCAGTACCATTTTTATGTTATATGCTGCTGAAGTTACTAAAGCAAACAAGGGCAGAAATAGCTCAGGTTGAATTGTTACCTTACAGTACTAAAAGAAACTAACTGAATATTTTGTTGAATTAGATGAGCAGAAGAGCAATTTAAAGGTAGATTTTAAGGCTGAACCTTCTAGTCTATGAAGACGACAGCAAGAGTCACTGATGCCTGTTCTGTTTTAAGTCTTATAATATATAATTGTGATAGTCAAGCAACTTCTTTATTAACCCCCCCATAATCCGTAAGAAATTTGTTCCATTGTGTGGTTTACTGTAACAGAAATATATGATTACCTCATTGACACTTCATAGTGTTGGATGACTCAGAAATAAATGTCTCCCTGGGCACTTTAGTTGAACAGTTACTCGTTGTTGTTTCTGACTGCAAGTATAGGAGTGGCCTTGAAATAAGAGTGAGGAAGGCTTTATTTCTCTTGGCGGAAATCAGCTTGACTGACAGTGGAGGTATAAGGGTCTAAATTTAACCTAGAAATGGATGTGAACAAGAAAATGGTAAACTGGAGATCTAGAAGAAACAGATGTGCAGTTATTTGGAAGAAAGCATTGTGGTTGTTAGAAAATTGTGTTATTTTCTATTCTTAAACTTAATTGCAATATGATAATATGGTTTTGCTTTTAAACAATTCATACAAAAACTCAGACATTTGCTGCTTATCTGCAAAAGCCAAGCTTGGTCCAAGTAAACAGCAGTTCTACCGCCCCTGTGGCAAGGTTGGAGGTTGTTCGAAGCACACAAAATGCCTTTTTAGGAAGAAAATTGAACTTAAGTTTTGTATTAGGTTAAAGGCTGCAATCCCACAGGCAAGTTAATAGCTGTTCATCCCCTAGGATATCCTGGAGGGAGGCAACCTTCGTAATGCCCTGCAGGAGCTGCAGCAGATCATCATCACACCCATCAAGGCCTACACCCTGCCTGCTGCCACTACACAGAAAGAGGCCGAGCCCACTGCAGAGGCTTCGGACAAGGGCACCAAGCCAGGGGAGGACAAGGAAGCAGCAGCTGAGGGCTTCCAATCCCAGAATCCCTCTCCTTGTGACGGGGAGTCCTCAACTGCGCCCATTGGAGATGGGGACATTGCTGGGCAATTCACCAGGGTCATGGGCAAGGGTGAGCTGTTGAATTTGCTTTGCAGATCTTATTCTGATACTAATTCATGATAAAAGCATTTGTTTCTGTAGAGAAGTTTCTAAAACTATAAATCAAGAGAGGGGGAACACAGTGGACATGCTGGTAAATGTTGTGTTGCCATGCTGCTCTGCTGATTGGATGTTTATAACCTGCCTGTATTGTTGTGTTTGCAGAAGCTTTTTTTCCTCACAGGTAAACCATGAGATAAGAATTTATGCAGCTAAAATTGTATCCATTTTAAACTTCACATACCACACATTGTCCATGTCTTTTAAAAATCTAACTCTAGTGCCTATTGGAGAGTTTTCACAGATGTTTCCATTTATAGTACAGCCCATTTGCTGAAGCAAAAAATATGGTAATGGTTCTGCATTACAGAACCCTGTTTTTTCATGTTTTTTCATGTTATTTCATGTATAGCCTGCTTTCCTGAAACCAGATTCTGAGGATTAATTCTCAATCTGTTTTTTTTATGAATCCCATTTTATAAATAGCTTTTTATAAAGCTAATTGATGATGTCAGCTAACTGGTATCAGCAGATAATGAGAATTTGTAAAGTGCAATTTTGCAACACTATTTTTAAGCTTGATAGTAAGTTTCATTTACATTAAGAATTAATCTTAAAGAGGACCTCTTGTAAAATGGGTGGATGAAATCACTTAAGTTTGCAGGAACTGGAAGTGTGCCAAATGCACTCACCTGTGGAATTATCTTGACTTCATTTTAATATAGCAGAGGATCAGTCAGTGCTGATGTTAAGTGTTGGAATAAGTATTTCACTGAAAGTCACTCAGACTAAGACTTCATTCTGGTGCCCGCTTCTCACATGAAATGTGGTAGTTATATGAATAAGGAGAATACAAGCAAGTTTAATTACACAGTTGCAATTTAAAGCAAAATATTTTAATTAAAAGATGCAACTCTTTATCCTTGCTACGGTTGTGCTCTTACCCTTCCTACTTTTGAAGTTATTTTTCTGTTATAACATCTGCAAAAATGAGGGTTTATGGGATTATATACATCTCACATTACTGGACCTCCATCTTTTTCTTCTTTAAGCCCTTGGAACTGTTTTGATGAGAGCACACCAGCATTAGAAAGTGATTTTCTGGGTATTTCAATGAGTTGGAAGCTGTTGTTGATAAGGTTTTACAAATTTCTGTAGATCCTTCCTAGTATCTTTAGTTTTATATAGACAGGTGGTTCTTTGCACAGTGATCACATTGTTAACCATAAGCCTGAGGTTGAGTTCAAGGCTGGGATCTGACAGGCAGCTCTGCTTAGATTGTCTAGACTCATGTTATGCCATGTTTGTCTTGTGCAGTGTGTACCCAGCTTCTTGTGTCCAGGCCAGACGAGGAGAACATCAGCTGCTATCTACAGCTCATCGAGAAGTGTCTGGTGCATGAAGTGGGTATTTCTGTTGCATTTTTGAAATATCAAAAGTTTTTTTTCCCCAAAGTGTAATTGGTTCATTGAAAATGTTGAATTGCAAAAATGGGTAATTTTGTTTGCAAGTTATTTTTAAAACTAAGTTTAAGATAGACATTCACAAAAGATGTTACTGATCATTTAAACTGCTAAATGATTTGTCCCTCTGATGACAATTTAATCAATTCAAATAATTTTATTAATTTCAAATCGTATGCACCATCTTATTATAAGGTTGTTACCCAGGATTCAGTTTCTTCTGAGAAACAACTGGTAAAATAGTGGCACTTTTTTAAAACCCCATAGTAAAACTACAAAGATAATGTATTAGAATGCTTACGTATGTTAAAGCTTGGCATATAGAATTTCTAGCTCATAAATTGTGCTCTTTTTCTTAGTTTTAGCATATACTGACAATTTTGTTTTCCGACAGTTTCTGCTTGGTAGCCACGTTGCATGGACGAATTGCTCCTTCCCATGGAGTTGTTTAAGCCAGATATTCAGTTTTGTGTTCCACTCACAGGTGTCCCTCTTCAATTCCTCCTAACTCCAGGCATTCACAGAAACCCAGAAAAAAAGGCTGGTATCGTGGAAGCAACAGGTTCTGAAGTTGCTCCGGTTGTTCCCTCGGAAATCCATGCTGGACATGCCTGGTTACCGACAGAAAGGGTGAGGAAAGACTGTGGGTAATGTGAGACTAAGAAAAATAGCGTTTCCCTTTCTGTCTTATGAATTGCGGGATAAGTGGAATAGTTACAGTTAGTCTCTACAGGCTTCTGGAGGACTAGGCCTTTGACTTCCTGCTAAAGAACTTAAGAGTCAAGGTGTCTTTTCAGTCTGAGCCTCCTCATTCTTCACTGAGCACTCTGAGCACCAGTTCTGGTTCCCCTAGCTGCGAATATCACCTCATTGTACCCTCTTTTACCACTGACTGCTGTTGGATTTTATTTTAGTACAATAGTGATCAGGTCTTGTTCTTCATGATTCTTTGTCTTACTTACAAAGTTCAAAAGTTCTAATCTGTGTTTCATCTTTGCTGGATAAATTGGACACCATTATGCATTTGCTGTGCGATAGCTTTTTTTATAACTAATTGTCCCCAGTTTGCCTTTTTTTAATACATTTATCCTCCCACCAGCTGGGCGTATGGGTCGAACTCTCTCCCCACAGCGGGTTCTGTGGGCGTTGGGCTGGGACGCAGAGGGCAGAGGCAGTTTCAGATGCCCCCTCGGGGGCTCCCCCCCACTAGGATGGGACTGATTAGCCCAGCAAGCATAGGGGGTGCCTCCCCACGACACACCCTCACCAGCCCTGGCCTTGGGGGGCAGGGTAGGCAGGTGAGTAGCAGTTCATATAGAGTTCTCACAGCAAGACTTCTTGACGCCTTTTACAAATGTCACCACGTTCCCAGAGAAGGATTCCACTCTTAATTCACAGTGGGTTGAGGTACACAATATGGTTATCACTTCCTTTAAAAAAAACATCCTGCTTTGTTATTTATCATAATGGAGTGATATGATAAATTTGTAGTTATAAACTTCCTTTTTTTTAAATCTTAAAAAGCAAATTACAACACATAAAAGCAATATATTACAATAAAATTAGTATAATTGACATATTGCATACCACAATCAACTGAGTGAAGGTTGAGTTGAATTTGTTCCACACTTCTTTTCACAGAAGTTCACAAGCTCCAAAAAGAGGAAAAAAATACAGAAAATGGTCACTACAAAAATACAAAACTATACACAAAAAGCCATGTTCTCGAATGTTTTTATACTAAATTACTCTTAAGGTTTATTAAAAGAAAAATAGTTTACTGCAATATTAAGAAAAGTAACTAAAAATAGATTGCAAGAGTTTTGAATGCTGTATTGATTCAGAAATCCAGTCTACTCAATGTCCTACTTCAGAATATGTACCACAAGATTAAAGGAACCGAAGCTGGTGAACGGAAGCTCTTCAGGTTGCTCTGCACAGAGGCGTGGTGTCGATGTTCTTGCACTGCTGATGGTCTCAGACTAGTTTCTGATAATGTCTTGCTCTCACACAGAACCTGTGGTTTGCCAACCCTGGGGGCAGCAACAGCATGCCGAGCCAGAGCCGGAGCTCGGTACAAAGGACACACTCTCTCCCCGTCCACACGTCTCCTCAGACCATGCTCATGTTTCAGCAGCCTGGTAAGGTGTCAGACCGAGTGAAAGATTGAAATGAAATTCAGTTGTATTCCCATAACTGGCTTAATAAAAGAAATGGCATTGGAGCATGTATTACTGGTTTTAAGTTTTGATGTAGAGACTAGAGATTAGTCTTGATATGTTCCAACTTGTTACTTTTTTAAATCCATTTCACAGGGTTCTTAGTGACACGATACACAAATTACTGAAATGTAAAGAATTTCTCAGGAAGCTAGACAAGATTCGTAGACAACTTCAGAAAGTACAGAAGTATTTATAAACTGGAGAAGGCCTGACTAGATAATTTTGTTTTTGAGGGAAATTGGGCAACCAGTGTCCAGAGCAGGATAAATATAAATTATTGGTGCTGTGGTTCTGAATCTAGGTGTTGCATGTGTGCAGTAAATATTACATTGTAAGCATTATGTGTTAATTGGTTCCTAAGTTCAACAAAGCACACGTTCATCCTAGCAAGTAGCATGTAAGATTGTATTGAGCTATAGTGCTCCACTCCTGTCTTTGATTTTCCACAATACAGATGGGTTCCCAGGTCTATTTTAAGTCCTTAATAGCCGACTTTGTTTGAAAGACAATGCACAACTCTAGGTACTCTATTGATCAGTTGAATGAAATGGTAAAGACAGTCATTAAATATAAAGTAGGTTTGTCATTGAAGGCTAGTGTTTTGCAGTTGGAGTGAATTACCTTAAGACCTGGGTGATTGTGCCTGCAACTGAGTATATTCTTCTTTTGAGAAATAGTAATGAATTTCTTCTTCTGCTCTTTTTCCTTTCCAGAATGCCAAGTTCCTGGTACGGATCTGGAGATCAACCCAACGCTGGAGTCGCTGTGCCTCAGTATGACGGAGCACGCCTTAGGGGGTAAGAACATGCAGTTGTCTCAGCTTGGTACGCAAGCCTGCTTTTCAGTTTTTCCTTTACGGGATTGACTTCTCTACTCATCAAAAGCTACAGTAGAGCTCAGTCTTTGCAATACCAAGCCAATATCACTTTACAAGAATGCTTGTATCAGTATCTTGTGAGAACAGCTTGTACCTCGTGATCGAATCAGTTTGTCAGATGTGAACACTTACCACTTTCCATTTTTAGAATTTTGTGATGCATGAAGAATTTGTTATAAAAGGTTTATAAAACCCTGTAGATTCTCATGCTTATAATGGAAATGATGGTCCTATTCAGATTAATGGAAAATTGTGATACTGTGATACATACCAGTAATTAGCTTTTACAAACAATACATAATGTAGGCTCTTGACATCACATGACTAAGTTTGAAACACACCATTGTACTTGAATGTCACTTATGAGTTTTGATGGCTGGTTGACATAGCACATTTAAATGAGTAAATCTTCATCTGATTTGAACAGATCTCAAGAAGGCAAGATCATTTCTTTTCTAAACTTCTTCACGTTTGCATGGTGAAAAAATAGGGCTCTTTCTTTTCTCTACAGATGGAATGGACAGGACATCGACAATATGAAAATGATTAAAAAAGACAGACACTTCACATTCTATAAAACACTTTGGATCCTGCATCGTTCTTTTCACAGAAGTGGCGCAGGACAAATTGACCCTCAAAAGAAGAAAAAAAGTAAAGAAAATGGTCACTACAAAAAGACAAAAGTATACAAAAAAACTAACTGTGTATATGTTCTCTGATATTTTTGTACTTTATTATTCTTAACTGAGGTTTATTATAAGAGAAGTACAGATTACTACAATATTAAGAGAGAAAATTACTTAAACAAATTGCAAGAGTTTTGAATGCTACATTGATTAGCAAAGCCAACTACTCAATATGTCTCCTTCTATAGATGTACCACAAGGTAAAAGGAACATGGAAACAGTATAGTGTTCAGGGGGTGATGCTGATGGTCCTGGTTTGTGCTGGTCTTGCATTTGGAAAGGAAGGGAGGATTTGTACAACTCCAAAGGTATTTTGGCAGGGATGTTCTTCAAGCATACCTAGACCACACGTCCTCCTTGTAGCCTGGTGAAACAGACCATGAGAGGTGGTTGCAATGTCTCCACTATTGGGACTTGCCAAGGTATTCCATAGTCATCTTTACCAATTGTTGAAAAATTAGCTTTTTTGCAAATGTTGGAATTCATGAAGTTTCGTATTTTTTTCTCCATTCTGTCCCTTAATTAGTTTTAGTAGGAGATTTATTTGAGACTATTTCTATAAAGACATATGCTGCAACCAGTAGCTCTTCTGGTGTACAATGCTGTGTTTATTGCTTTAATTAAGTTGGTAACCCAAGTCATTGGTGAATTTAGTGTTTTATGAGCTTGACTGTAATGATGAAATGGATTTTCAGTAAACCTGCATCAATTTACAAAACACCACCAGGAAAAAAGCAGTTTTAAAATGTTGTTCAGGTTTCCAGTCCTCCTCATCCTCCTTCTCATGTTTTCATTGCAGTTTCATCAAGCTCTAAAAATGAGCCACTATGATTTTGTTAGTTGGATTGCGCAAACCTTACTCTTTCTCAGATCATTTTGAAAATACTATGCACATATAATTTGAATAGTTTTATCAGCCATTGAGTAGAATTTATGATTATAATAACAGATATTAGAAGTAATGTTTTAAATTGATTGTTTCAGTCCCCTGGTTACATTGCAACCACCTAAAGAGTAATCATCTTAGAGGGTCTTTTCTCTGGTTTCTCAAAGTCTTTGGATGTTATTCAGATCTGAGGTCTAGGGTTCCTGTGTTTGTTAGTTTTTCCATAGGATGCATGTTTAAAATGTCAGAATAAGACACTTCTGGTATTTAAAAAGAGATTAACCTCAGCTGTGCTTGCAAGAGTGAAACCTCAAATTTCAACTGCTTTTCTGCAGGTCAGAATTCATTTGCCATCAGTCAAGCACGTCCCCAAAAGAAAAAAGGTTTTTTGTTGTTTGTTCATGAACTAATATTTGTCTAAGGTGCTCACTTTTTGGTATGCCAGCCAGTTAAGAATAGCCTCTAGTTTTACAGTTGACTACCTGAATCAAAGTTGTTTGCCACCCCCCCCCCCCCCCCCCCCGCCACTCTCTGTGTAAAGCACTGTCGTATGGCCCTGACATCACACCCCCACCACTCTCTGCGTAAAGCACTGCCCCCCACCCACACACACACACAATGTCTTAGTCTAATTTCAGGGAAGGTAACTTATTTGTCAGTTTAGTTTTTCAAGAAAAGAGCTTTCAAACTTAAGTACTCTGAGCTGTCGTTTTGAAAAGGAACAGGCCGAACACTCTATGCTGCATTTTTAGGTCTTCAGTTTCTCCAATGATTAATACTTTCCTTTTCTCTCCAGTTCTTGGTTACAAAGAGCTGTTTAATGTCACCTTGGCCTTTGCGGTACTTTGCAGCTGAAAGTTATCAGCCTTAACCATTTTCTTTTTTTTTGCTGTGTGCAGATTTGTCTCATTTTCCTTTATCTCAACACTTTTGCCTCACTTTTTGCACAAATTCAAAGACGATCTCAGTGGTCCCACAGTACACAGCTGGCTTTGTGTCACCGGGAAATAATCCTCTATTTTCTTCTATATTTATGTTTTGGAGAGTCAGGTGCTGGAGAGTTAAATTAGCAAGATTTTGTCATTCAGCATAACTTCCTAATTTAACAGAGACAGAGGTTTGTAGGTTGTGTATATAAATAAGAGAGGAAACAGCGGCTTTGATTTTCTTGTCACCACTGTGCACTGGCTACGCTTTACACATCCTTCAGTTTCTCTGGTTGATGGGGGTATATTTCTTACTATAATTCTTTTTTTGGTTTATAGCAACTGTTCAGGTTATGTAGTATTTGGGGGGCATTTGTGAATGCTTTAACTAGAGCCAGAGGTCTGATAGATAAGAAGAGTGGGGGGTACTGGGTGATGTTTGTCTACCTGATTTCCACATAGCATGTTGCTCTTTAGTGTGATTCCAGCTATTCTGCCTATGAAATAATAAGCTGGTTAGAAAGAAAAGTATCCTACTAGAGCACACAGTGTTTGTGGTTGTCTGCCTGATTAAATTGGTGATTTGCTCAGAAAATGCTTTTTGTAGAGGGGGGGAGAAGGAAGTGTTGATGCTGGAAGCTGGAAGTAGCAGATTTTCTGATTTACAGTTTAAAAGAATGTACATTTCGTTGGTATGAGGGAGAGGGGAGGACTGCCTGACTTCTAACTGCAGGATTATTCCAGGATGAAAACCTAACTGAGTTCATACAGTCATAATCTTGACCCCTTTTCATATTTTCTCTTCAGTACCTCCTTAGATAAAAATGACTTGAATTGTAAGTCCATGTCTTTGGTTAGTCATTGTAGTCTGAAAATGCTATCTTTATCCTGGTTGTTTTAGTTGCTCTGAAGTGTGAAATCTGAATCAAAAGTTATCTCCTTATTTAATATGCAAGTATGAATGACTTGAGGATTTTGGGATTTCAAAGATGGACATATGATTCCAATTTCAAAATAGTTTTATCCTTCTCACAAGGGCACTGCAGGCCCATGTTCAAATGAAGTGTTTCATATAAAGCAATACTGCAGGTTCTTAAATGCTATTTCAGCTCCACAGTTTTCTTTGTGTAGGTTTTCTCATTATAAGGTTACAACTAAGGTTACAACTATGAACCATCTACTGCCACACCCTGTAATCTGTAACATCTCATATTCCCCACCCGTACTGGGGGGGGATTGTTGTTTAATCCTTGCAATAAATAAAATGGACAGTTCATAACCTGTAACAGGTATATCATATCAAGTCTGATGTAGGCCAGCTACTGCTTTTGTTACATAGTTATGTAGCCAGCTACTTTGGATTCAACTGATTAATTTGGCTTTAATGTATAATGATTCGGATTTTGTTATTTTCTGTAATACGAATCTGGGCTTTAGGTACCCAAAGCAGGAGGCTACATGTTGGGCAGTTTTGCATCATTCCTTCTTTTTACCATTAACCTCTAGGGTAAACTTCTTCCTTATGTTGCAGTTAGGAATTAATGGACATCACAGTTGTCCAGGCTTTAAAACAACACAATTTTTGTCTATTTCGTGCAAATTAACAAGGCACTGCAAAAGTTTATATTTTTATCAGTTATGTGCTTTATGGCTCATAATCTTAGGCTTGGGGACAAGCTGGGGTTGCTGTATGATAATTAAGCATCAATCACACTTAAAAGGATCAGTCTTCATGCTTCCAATACAACAATTAAGGGTTTCCGTGTGAAAGTAGAACAGCATTTACTTATTCAGATCAGTTATTTGAGGAATGATGCCTTAACTGAAAGTGGGTCACTAACAATACAGGGGGATTTGCCTGTGAGTTATTAACGCAAAGATTCTGAATCAGAATAGATGAGATGTATCACAGTTTATGGCAAGGTTAGTTAAAAAACCTATTTTACCACCAAGCTGGGATGACTGTTAGAATTAGGTGCAGTTCTGTTTAATTTGCTTTAATGGACTCAAAGCATTAACATCTTGAAATTCTTTAGGTTATATAGGTGACAGGCAGGAAGAAATCAGAATATTGGACAAGATAACTCACTCATCTATATAATGTAGACTATAGCTCGATTCTGTGCACATCTTCTCTTTTTTAGTGCTGTACCTGGCCTCTTGGAAACCTTTTTCAGAACTGACCTGCAGAACGGTTGTTTTAAGTGTAAGTAGTGTGAGGTATAACTAAGAGGCCTTGTGAAACAGACAAAACTAAGAGTGTAAAGTGCATAGACTGAGCCAGCCACATCACTGGTTAAGTGAAGTGACTGCACACAATGGCTGTGCAATGGCTGTCTACTTTTGGTGTTGTCCAGTACTGAAGCACCTAATGGGGTTTAATTGCTTAATTCCTTGATTACTAATTTTCTCATTAATTACAGGGTATCTAATTTGAAATTTCCTTCACCTGATTGTCTGCACATCTCTCTAGCCCATGCAGCCATATATGTCTCCCAGGACACAAAACTGCATCAGGTTGTTCCAAACACTGACATTATGGTTCTTTATTGGTTCAGCACTTAATGGTGAAATGCAGAAAGCGTCATATAAGTCCTACAAATCACAATGATTTTAAATGTACCCCTCATAGATCTTAGTTGTTTTGGGTATTGAGAATGAGCCAATGAGAGTGTGCTGTAAAAATGGGTCTCTCCTGTGTTCCTCGCATCAGACAGTGTCTGGCTGCAGAACTGCAGAGTCAGATTACTTGTTCTTGAACACTTTACTTTTTCACTCCACAGTACCCTCTGGTGGGTGTCGGTGGCTCTGCAGCCCAGCTTTGGCTGCTGGAAGTGAATGGAGGAAGGAGCCCTGACCAAGCTGCTTGCCTGGGTGCTGACACAGAGGTTTCCTGCAATGAGACAGTTTTGCGGCTGAGGTGTAATGATCTTGTGGCTTTCTGAGCTGTCAGCAGGAGTGAGCCCTTGCTGTCTGCTGCTGTGCCACTGCCTTCTTTCTCAAATTGTCATTCTTAGGCATGTGGACTTGTTTTTTTTGTCATATCAGCTGTTTTAATCCCTTACAGTATCATGTGCTTAGCCCAATGTGTTAAACCACTAAAACAGGGTTCCACAAGTCCAGCAGGTTATGTGGACCTCCTTAAATCATCCGCACATGATCTTAGAAAGAGAAATTAGCTTTACTAAGAATTAGACCTACCCCTCCTACAGAAGTCTGAAGCTAATGATGACTTCATATGTACACATCATGCTAGACTGGTAATGTTTTCTTTTACTTGTTCTGTTTTGTCTATCCAAGAGGTGTTATAGAAGCTTAAAGGACCATATTGTAGTATTTTTTTATATTGTTTAGCACTTGGGTACTTTTGCTTGTTCATGTCTCATGGAAGGATTGCTGACCAGCTGTGTGTGGTTTTGTGAGTCGCATCAAGTGGATGAAATAAAACATTAAGGTTGGAAGAGGAATTGGTGTAGGTGATATTTGTCTCGTGAAGATTATGCTATTTAGGTCCCGTTCCTTTTGATTGGTTTGATTCGGCAGCAATGCAGTTACAAATGGAGGAAGAGGTTTTTCCCTTACCGGCTCATTTTTGGTTAATGTTAGGTTTTTACTATCCTTTCAATTTGGGATCTAACCCCTTTCTCCAGTTCCCACACACACAATTTGGAATTGCTTATTGTAAATTGTATCATCCCTCCTCTGAGACCACAGCATCAGCACAAGTGGTGTTAGACGGTGAGTGTTTTCCGCAGAATGTGCAGAATTCATTTTGCAAGTCCCCTAGTGCCCATAGCAAAATTGCACTGGAGGAGTGATGTGACTTTTGCTGACAACACTTTAAGGTCATAAGCATTCCGCAAGTCTCAGGTGTGGCACCAAGCTGAGAACGGTATGACAGACTCAAG